AAGCCATCTTTCCACTCCTGGTTCCCCTGGTGGAACGGCTCCTCCTGCCCCCAGCCAAGCCCTGTCCTCTTCTTTCCCTTCTCCTCCAGAGTCCTGGTCCCAGCTGGCCTCTGGCTCTCCACTCTTCCCGCTGTGTCCTACACCCCAGGGGTGACACCCTTTGCTCCAAACCCTCAACTTCCCCACTGACTAACAGAGGAAGCCCAAACTCAGCCACTTCCCCTTGCGAGGTTCCCGTGTGCAGCCTCCACACCCCTCTTCCAGCTGCGTCTCTGGAAACCCTCAGTTCTCTCCGCAGTAATGATCCCAGCTATCGGCCCTTGCCCTGCATGGCCTTTGGTTCCTGTTGGACTCTCTCAAGGGACACCATGCTACCTTGTCTTCCAGTGACTGGAAGCTGGGCATCCTGGGCTCATCTCTACTGTGACCTCTTCTCTTTTGCAGAGCCTTTCAGCCTTACGCTACCCCTGACATACCGCTCCATTCCACTGGTTGGTGGCAGAGAGTCCAGTATGTTAGAAAGTGCAGCCTTTAGCTTCAGAAGATGGGGTCCCACACCCTGCCTGCAGGTAACATCCTGCTAGCATCCCTTGAGCCTCTCTTCCGCCTCAGTTCTGGTCCCCAGCAAAGATGGGGCTGGTCTAGATGGTGACTTTTGACTCTCCTTAGCTGCCGAATCCAGTCTTCAAATAAAAGGAAGGAAGTGGGACAGATTCAGCATCCCACTGTGTGTCCTGCCTTCCTTCTGCCCCACCAGCTCCGTGCCACCCAGCTTCAGAGAGGAGGAGATATGTCCCTGCCTCTGCCCTGTGCTCCTGCTGGTCTCCCTGCCCTGGCCTCCAGGAAAGTTCAGTCTCCCCAGCCCGGTTCCTGCTGCCCAAAGAGCACACTGGCAGGAGGAGGGGAGACACACTGGACCCGAGGGGCTGAAGAAAGCAAAGGCGCCGGGCCTGTGAGACCTGTTTCCACTGTTCATCCCAGAGCTCATCTCTTCGCTGGTAGACTGCAGGTGTTCAGCACATGTACAAACTAGAGATGATCCCTGAGCCTGGACCAAGGGACCTACAACTGACCATGACAAATGGCAAGTTAGGGATGGTGGGATCCCTAACTGGGGAGGAAAGGAAAGAGGCTCCGGAGCGTATCTTAAGGATTAGGACTCAGGTCTCAGTCCTTGCAGCTTCTGGATTCACACCTGGAGCCTGGGACCCCTTGGAGCCTGACTTTCATTCGGATCACAGTGAAGAGACCGCTGACAGGCGAAAGATCAGATTTGCTCCTTGTGGAGGAGGCCTGGCACAAAGACCTCTTGGCACCTCAGCGCTCTGTGGCTCCGGTGGCCTTTGGCAGATAGCCTGTATCTCTAAGATGGTCTTTTGTAGGCTGACTCATGCCTGCGAAAAGCAGAGGAGCCGAAGAGAAAACCTTTATTCCTTCTTGTAATATTCTCAGCTACTTTCAGGTGTGCAAAGCTATTCCATTCCTCTGTAGGGCTAAGCAACGGGACCCAGGCTGGGGTGCCTTTCTCCACCTACGGCTCGGGTTCCTATAGGACAACTCCAGCCTGCTGCTCTGTTCTCCACTCCGTCTTCGTGGTACGATGTGTGCCGTGGAGAGCGGGTTCCCGCCTGCTGGCTGGAGCCCAGGGCAGCACCAGGGGGGCAGCCAGGACTCTACACACACACACACACACACACACACACACACACACACATACGTGGTCTTATTTTATGTTCTGCTGCTGTAACAGAACACCGCACACCAGGTGGGTAAGCAAGAAACATTGGGAGAGTATTTGACTCACAACTCTGGAGGCAGGGAAATCTGAGGACACTCTTCGACCAGAATCTTACTATTGTAATCACTGACCACCCCTGTGATGGTGCCCATCCTCCATTCATAAAGGGGATCCCCACAGGATCAAATCATCCCCTCAAAGTCCCACCTCTTATACACTCATGGTGGCAATTAAATTTCACCATGGGGTTTAGAGGGAGTGTTTGATCCAGAGCACACATTTACTAGCTCAGAGATGAGTTCACAGCCCCAACCATCCAAATAAAAGTCTCATGAGCACAGGCTACAGTCCAGCCACTCTGCCACTCCCCACTTGACTAATGGTCTTCACTAGCTGTCAGGATTTGACTTATAAACTCCCAGCCATTTCAGTTCAATTATTCTTCCTCATCTCCAGCTCCTCTCTGTACTCCTGTGTCACTTCCACAGGGTATCCCTGTGGCTTCTCTTCCACCCCGAGGCTGTTGGGAGCCAGACATGGGCAGAGCCTTGGGAAGATGCTGGCACAGTGATGGGGGAGACTATATTGGTTCATTGTCATGGTAACCTGCTCAGCTGAGCAGTGGGGCAGCAGCCAGCTCAGTGCTATGCAGGTGCTGGGGCATGGCATGGTGACAGTCACCAGGGCACTTCTCCTTGGGAGCCGCATCTTGGGGGTGCCTTGCCTGGCTGGCACCACATGGGTGTGGTTCCACCCCCAGGAAAGATGTAAACCCCTTGGTTGTGGAATTGATCCTGAGAAAGAGGAAACTCAGATCTGAGAAGACTTGAGCCAATCAAGAGGAAAAGGGGCTCTCATACCAGCTTTTGGAAAGGACCCCCAGGAGCCAAAAAGTGCATAGTCTCAGCTATGACATTTCCTGACCAGCGCCTCAGCCTGCTCCTGACTCAGAGCGGAGAACAGACTGTAATGAGCAGTCCTCCAGCAGTGCATGCCGGTCAGTTTCCCTGCCCTGCCCAAGTGTGCTTATCTCTGTCAGCTGTGGCTGGCACTCTCAGAGCTGAAGAGTATATTTTATCCATACCTACTGCAAAATTGAGACAATGACAATTTGAGGACAGAAGATAAAATTCCAGCCGCCCGCCAGCTAACAGGAGTGAGATAAGTGTGGTCCCGGGAGAGGTGAGAGGTTTGCCAAGTCACAAGCAATTAGCCACCACGCAGGGATGGAGCACTCCTGGGTGTCCAGTTCAGGACTGACAGCCGAGGTAAAACCTCTTGATTCCAGCGAAGCGTGCTCAGCCACCGGAGTCCAACCAGTCTGGACACCACTTCTAGCCTCCTGGACCAGCCCTGATCTGCACCCTCTCCCAGAGCTGCCTAGACCTCAGATGACACCTTTGTCCCCAGGGAGCAAGGCTCTCCCATCTCTGTCCCCTGCCACTCAGATGGAACTGCTCCTCCCCATGTTCCTGCAGCAGCCAACCCAGCCTCCTGCCTGCCCACCTCTGACCTTTCACCTGCTCTGCCTGCTGAGGTGATCATACACTCTAAATCCAGCCACCTCTGAAAAACCCCACCTATGACTGCATGGGACTCTGGGGAGACATCTAGGTATAAACCATAACAAGGGATGTTTTTTCAGGAGACTGAAAGACCAATGTATTTTTTTTTTTTCTTGGTACTGGGATCGAACTCGTGACCTTATGCTTGCCAGTCAGGTGCTTACACTGCTGAGCTAAATCCCTAGCCCCCAGTGTATCTTTTACTGTAATATATTCTTTAAAAATAAAAAAAAAATTAAACAGCCACCAAAGTATTTGCTCATACCATGTATGTCTGCCTAGAATTTTACTTGGAAAAGGGGTCTTTGTAGTATAACTAAATTAAGGATCTGGGGAAAGATGATCATGGATTACCCAGGTGGGCCTTAAATTTAAGAAAGGTCCTAATAAGAAGAAGCAGAAGTAGGTTCAAGACTCAACCCACAAGAGGCAAATACTAGAGTGATATGGCCACAAACCAACAAATGCCCAGGCTCCTGGAACCTTGAAAGAACCAAACAAGATCCTCAAACAGCTTCTGGAGGGAGTCCGGTTCTGCAGGCACCGGGGTTCCCAGTTCTGGCGCCTGGGTAGTGCGTCTGGGTTCTTTTAAGCCACACAGTGTTTGGGAACGTGAACAGCAGCCCCAGGAAGCACACACCTCACTCACACGGCTCATAGCCTTCCAAGTGTCTGTGTGCAGCATGAATGGGTGCATGCCCTCTGGGGACCTGTCTTTCCCAGGCTCCTGGTCTCGGCATATGCTGTGCCCACCTCAATCGCGTTCCCTCATAGCCCAGCGGGAACCTCTACATCAAACTCTCTCCCACAGGCTTTCAACTGTGAGAGCAAAGATACCACATCACATGGATGCTACCGGGCATGTTTCTGCTTATTTCCATTTTTCCACATTGTAGCGTCTCTTAAGTATATGCATCTTACGATGAATGATGTCATTATTTCTAATGATAGCACCTTTTTCTTTCTTAGTGCCTCATAAAGTAAGACAGCATTTTGTGATGGGCTGTGTCTGAGTCTCTGAGATGGGAAATGTAGTAGCCCAAGGTTCGCTCTTTTCTAAGGGCGCTGAGGGCTGGAGCAGCCTGCATTCAAAGCCTGATTCCTCCACTCTCTCGAGGGAAGACAGACCTTGGTCTGTGCTATCTCCTGATCACGGTGGCTACAATGGTCGCAGGTATCTGCCAAAGCTCATAGCAATGTGGGCCTTAGTAGAGTGAATTTTATATCTTGATAAACTTGACTTTCAGAAGAAAAGTACCACAAAAAGATTTGGATTAAAGGGATTCCATTCTTTGTGTAGAATAATTTACAATCAAGGTTTCAAATGAGCAATGTAGAGAGATTCTGTCTCAAAATAAAAGATAAGAAAGGACTAGAATGGAGCTTGGCATAAAAGCCCTAGGTTCAATTCCCAGTACCACCACCAAGAAAGACGCTTTTACCGAATAATCTAAGAATTAACATAGATCAATAGACTACGTTAGTAATCTATACTAATTAACACGCAACATGATATAAACTTGTGTACTAGATTGTATGTTTAGATTAATTTTTTAAATTTATTTTTATTCTACAAGAAGATGCAAACTAAAAGCAAGTATTTTTGAGGGCCTCTCAGAAAATTTGCCCAAGAGGATACCTCCCAAGCCTCTTCCTCCACTCACCACCCAAGCAGGTACACCCCAGTGGGGAACACATCTTGTCACACCACCAAATGAAGCGTAACAACGCAACACGCTGCCGCTTCACCCAAAAGCGGTGTTTGTGCTCTGTGCTTCTCGACGGCTCGGTGGGTCGTGAGCAAGAGGCCCAGCCAGTGCTTTTAAAGGTAGGGGTATATTAATTTTAATTTGTTATATATTTAATAATATATTACATGGCAAGATCAACAGATTATAAAGTGATCTCAGCACATTATAAATTCAATGCAATCCTACTCAAAATTCTATTTGAACTTTTTTGAGGAGAAACACGATCTAAAATTTATATACAGAAAAAAAAGAAAAGCAAGTACCCACCCAAAGAACAGAGATGCGGCTCTGCCTTGCTCCCGTGCAAGTGTGTCACGGCGCTGTGGTGAGGGAAGTGTGTGACACGGGGATAAACTGAGCATTCCTGGACAGGGCTCAAACCACAGCCCACCTTCGTGTGCAAAGTGAAGAGAAGGTGAAAAGGAGAGATGACTGTCGCCATGGCTCATTGCCTCTAGGATTCACTTTTTTCTGCACTTTTCACGGTGCTGAGCCTGGAATGGTGTCCCCTGCCAGCCAGCCAGAGAACCACCAGGCGTGCACCAGGCCAGGCGCCGGGACCTCGGAAGAAAAGCCCAGTCATGGTCCTGGAGAATTAATTCTGCTAAGCAATGCTGCATGAAAGGGCTCTTGATGACCCAGAGGACCACAATGTCCATCACGCCGTCACTGTGATGCCGGAGCGGTGAAGGAAAATCCATACAATTTCTTTTGTTCCTGTTTTCCTTTTTAGGTTTGCATAAGCATAATGTACGTTTTTTTTTTTAATTAGTGCATCTAAATCATTCTCAAAGAGTTCTTTGGATAAATACAAAACTTCTAAGCAATGAAAAGATTAGTACTCAGACAAAGCCCTAAGAGCTAGTTCTCTCGAGGGTTATAAGAAGACTAAGATTGAGTTGCCCTCAAGGAAGGGGCAGTGAGAAGGCCAATGTCGTGACCCACCGGCATCCTTGGAACATGGCTCTTCAAGAAAGAAAAGCAAGCAAACGAGCACGGTCCTTCTCCGGGCTCCAGTTTGGGGGTCATTTCTCTCGCTGCAGGTGGCAGCCAGTATTTGCTTGAGTCTCAGCAGGGAACCCTACAACAAGTGCAGTCCTGAGCAGTCCTGACTCAGGAGCTTCCTCCCAGCTGGGGGGAGAGGCCAGGGTGACCAGTGCAGGTCAAGGCCAGCACACAGTGGCTACCCACCAAGATGGGAGTTCGGGCAGGCTGCTGGGGGCAGAGGATGGCTGAGGTTGGACTAATGCACAAAAAGCCATGAATGTCGCTCCACACACAGGAACAGCGAGTGCAGAGGCAGAACACAGAGCAGGGAAGATGGTCCTGGGTCAGGGGCCAGCACGGAGAACTTGGTCACGGAGAACCAGCAAGAACGCCAGCAGCTGTCATGCTACAGGACCACACTACTGTGCAGGGCTTTGCATGCTAAGGAATTGTTTTTTTCCCCACAAACTTACTCAAATATGATTGATTGTGCCAGTTATATGCTTTTTGACCTAAGGCTCAGGGTCACTGTTGTATTTCAATTGTCCTATCTTTTAATTTGTTAGTACTCTGCATGTTTACAATACATGAATGACTGCTTTCATTGTGGGCATTTGATACAGCTACATGACACACCTTACTTTTTTACCTCCCCTTCCTCTCCCCTTTGCTCCCCTACCTCCAATGCCTGGTTCCTTCTACTCTGGCTTGTGTCCAGATGTCACAGGTGGGGCTTTTTCAGAGGTGGCTGGAGCGCACGCATGTGATGTTGGGATTGATTCATGGCAGAATGCTAGGATAGGGCACGAGGATTGTCCCACTTACTTTTCTCATTGCTGAGATAAACACCAGCGTCACAACCCCCCCAACCTTAACAGCATCTGTCTGCTCTCTTTATCTGACCAGGCTACTCGGGGCTGGGAGCACTCACACTGTTAATCCAGGAGGTTTTAGGGGACATCTAGACACAAACCATAACAAGGGTTAAGGGTGTGAGTGCTACCCGTCCTAAGTGGCCTGGATAAAATATAAAGGATAGAAAGAGTGTGGACATCCCTTGCTTGCTTTGCTACCTTCTGTCCACCATGGACAGTTTCTCTCTGCAATGCCCCTCTGCCATGCCTTCCTTCCTTGGAGCCAACCGACTATGGATTGAAACCTCTACAAACAGCCAAATAAACCTTTCCTCCTTTAACACTAGGTGTTGGGTATTTGTCTCAGCACAAGAAAAGTTAGACACATTCCCATTTGTAAAAGATCTTCCCCCTCACTTCTTCTTATTGTTTATTGTGCTCTTTATTTACACTTTGGATTTCTCACATGAGAGGAATTATATGCTATTTAAGCATGTGTGTCTGACCCGTTTCACTTAACATTATGTTTGCATCCATTTTTCCACAAATGATTTGTGTTTATCCCTCTGAATAGCAGATCAGTATTCCACTGTGTATAAATGTCACATTTGCTTCATTCATTTGTCTGTTAATAGACATATAAGCTACTTCCAAGCTTTAGCTACTATGAATTGTGCCGCTATATACATGGGTACATATGCATCTCTGTAATATAGCCCTTAACTCTTTCTAGAATATACCTATAGGGTAGGAAAGAAGCTGAGTCAAATGAAATCCCTGCTCTTAGTTGTTTGAAGAATCCATACTGATTTCCATAAGGTGGTACTAGTTTACACTTCCATTAACAACAGAGACGTTTTCTTTCTCACCACAGCCTCACCAGCACTTGTTATTATTTGACTTCTTGGTGGTAGTCATTCTTTCTGGAGTAAATGAAGTCTGTTTTGTTTTAATTTGCATTTTTTTAATTGCCAGCAATGTTGAATATTTTTTCATGTATTTGTGGACCTTTTGGATTTCTTTTTCTGAGAGGTATCTATTCACTGCAGTTACCCATTTTTCTATTGTCTTTTATTTGGGCCATCTGATTTTTCAAGCTCTTTATGTATTCTAGATATGAGCCCTAAGTGGGCTAAGGAGTTTAAACTCTCCTAAAAGGCTCCAAAGAGCCCCAAAATGACCAGCTTCACCTACTAGAGGTGAGCTCTGGTCTCCACGTGGGAGGTGGACGAGAGAAAACTTTAAGGCAGGGAGATGAGCAGAGCTTCTGCTGCAAAAACCCAAGGAGCTCAAGGAAGGTGCCGATGAGAAAATATTCCCCAGCATTATCACGGATGGCATTTAGGGACCTCGGTGCACCCAGACGACCAACTGACATGAACAGAATGCCCCGACCAGTAACAGATAAATTTCATAAGTGTCCAGAACATTTGCCAAAGTAGACATGAGTCATAAAGCAAACCTCCACACATGTGAAAGAATAAAAATCATACAGAACGTGTCCTCCAACCAACATGGAATCCAGCCAGAAAGAAGTTACAGGGGATCACAGGAAAACCTTCAGACATGGAGAAACAGCACTGTTCCATGGATCGAAGGTGAGACCTCAAGGTAAAGAACTGCCCCTGGGCTGGGTTAGGATACAAGAGCACAAATACGAAATGTGGAGGACGTGCTAGTGGAGAGGGATTTACAACACTGGTCGTGCATCAGAAAAGAGCGCTGCGCCACTAATCCAAGCCCTGGCCTCAGTGGCCTAGCAAAGGAAGAGCAAAATAAACCCACAGCAAGAAAGAGGAGAGAAATAACAAAGGCAGGAGCAGAATCCAATGAAATGGAAAACAGAAAAACAAACAGCGTTTCTGAGACAAAGAGCTGTTTCCTTTGAAAGGCCAACAAAGGTGACAAATTTCTAGCAAGACTGACAGAAAAGGGAGGAGACCCAAAGCACCAATACCAAGAATGAAGAAAGGATTTTCTCGACAGTCACCAAAAGAATAAGTGATATTTCACCAAAGGAGTTTCGCACATGGCCCATAAGCTCCTGAAAAGATAACCAATATCACCAATCATCAGGGAAATGCAAATGAAACGCACAATGAGATACTACAAGATGCGACTGAAAAATACTGCTTAAATTATCAACATTTACCGCAGTGAAAGACACGTTGCTTTTAATCCCCTGGAAGTGCTCTTCCTCATCTAGACCATACTGAAGCTATCTTGCTGCTTTCTGAGGTAGCTCTGGAATCCTCTTTCATGAGTGTTTTTAATTGTGCCACGGAGGCTGCTTTGGATGTGGTGAATCAAACCAAAACGTTTACTCTCATGGGCAGTTTGGCTTTGACAAAGGACCAGAAGTCCTGCAGTACCAGCCCCGTGACTGGCGGGAGGAGGAGGCGTCGGGTGCTTTACAAGCCTGCCTTTCTGGTGAACAGCACGCCGAGGGGGTGGCATTCACCGTGTTTGATTGCACCTCACACAGACACGAAAGGAGGTTTCAGAACTCTAGAAAGTGGTGAGAACGAGAGTGTAAATGCACATGAAGCAGCAAAGTGAGTTTTAAAGTGGATTTGTGGCAATGTGTCTTTTACTGTAGTAACTTTTTTAGAATTTCAACATTCATCATATATTTGATCACAATGTGTACTTCAGTCAGTAGGGGGCCTTTTTTTACAAACAAAAAGAAAATGCCAAGTATCGGCATGGATACACAGAAGTGTGACCTCTGCGCCCGATTGCCAGACGTGTGCGATGGGGCAGCCGCCCTGGAAATGGTAGGGCCGGTGCTCAGAAAACAAAATCACCTTGGGTAGAAACAGGGGCCTGAGGAGCAAATCCACACTGCCACGGGGCCCAGGGGGAGGCTCCCGGTGAGTGACATGGAGCTGAGACTCCAGATGAGTGAATCAAGATGCTACCCGGCAGGACTGGGGATTCAGCTCAGCGGCATAAGCGCCTGCCTTATGGCAGTTGTGAGCTCGATCCCTGGTACCGATAAAAAGGAAAAAGCCAAAAAAAAGATGCTACCCGGCACCAAACCCCGTGGGCTGGACCTAGTAGGGCTGCTCTGCCTTTCCCAGGGTGTCACCGCAAGCTGGGGAGCCTGGCTGCCCTTCTGGATGCTGTGTGCAGTGTCACTGGCAATGGACAGATGTCACACACTCCTCGAGGGCCACATGGGACATGTCCATGAAGAGAGGCCCACTCTGCCTGGACGGGGTCGCAGCCACTGTCTGT